CCTACTCAGTCAGCTATCGTTACTCAGCCACCTTCCGACTTGAGCAAGAGGAAGCGTGATGATCAACGTGACCAACAACGGAACAAGCGTGGAGCAGCAGATGGACATGGCAATCCCCCTCCTATCCAAAATATTCAGCCTATCCGCCAAATGCCTGATGGGCCGCCGCAGTGTGGTAACTGTGGCAGAGCTCATGGAGGAGTGTGCTTGGCAGGCCAACAGATCTGCTACTACTGCAAGAAGCCAGGACATTTCACTAAGCAGTGTCCAGAGCGCGGTCAACCACCAAACCAACAGCCACAACAACAGCCTCAGCAAGACCAACTAAGACTTGGAGGAGGAGGAAAGGCACGTATCTACATGTTGGCCAAGAATGAGGATGACCCAAACCAAGATTGATCTGCGAGGGGAGGTGCAAAGATTATTGGAAGTAGTCGTCTAGTCCTGTTTATTTGCAATCTCTTGAAATTATTGTTCTTCTTAATTCTTTGTTTGGAGTTTCTGATTTGAGTATTTGTGTTTAGAACCTTGTATTCTTCTTCTTCGATTATAAGAACGAGTGCTTTCGTTGTTTCTACTTGTTTCCTAATTGTTTCCATCTGTGAAGTTAATGGAGTGTGTTCCTTAAGTACCTAAGCCGATAATTGGGACTTAATCTCTCAGTTGGGGAATGTCAGCGTATTTTGAAGGGACCATTTACTCGCCGTGCTTCTCAATGATGTCTTTGTTCATCTCGGGGAAGTTGAGCCACAGGAGCATTTGACAATTTTGTTCGAAGATCTTGAGTTAGTTTCGAGATTAGTTTTTGATTTCCGAGGACGGAAATCGTTTAAGGAGGATAGATTGTAACACCCCGTTTTATTTTATTAAATTATAGCGTTTTATCGCTTGACTAATTTAGAGTCTTGTTTGTGCCTTGTATGTCGAGTGATATATTTTTGCTGAATTGTGGATTTATCGCTTAAATTGAATTATTCTATCAAGCGAATTATGTGATTATGTGAACTATTTTTCTAAGTGATTATGAACTTTGTGATTATTTGCCTAAGTGATTAATTGACTATTTGCTTAAGTGATTAATTGACTATGTGTCTAATTGATTATTTGATTATGTGCCTAAGTGAATTATTTGAGTATGAAGTGATCTTTTTAATTGTCTAAATGCTAATTTAATTGTTTATGTGTTCAACTTTTATTTTATACCTAAGTGTCTAAATTTATTATGTGCCATTTTATATTCTCTATATTTGCCTAATTACTTGTCTACATATAAATATGTATGTGGCCCTTACCTTAGGCTTTGAGCCCAAGCACTACTTAGGAATTTCAGCCCAAGCTCTTAATCTCGGCCCAACATAATAACTTGCTACCATAATCCCTTTGAGTTTGGGCCCAATCGTTTTTCATTAGCAGCAGCCCGTAGAGTTTCTCAATGACTCGGTCTCTCTCTCACTCCTTTCTTTCTCGATCTGCACCGAGCCTATCTCAACAGCCTCCATAATTTCCGGCCAGCTCTCCCACGATTATCCCCTATTTCAGCCACTACCAGTGAACCCTAATTTTCCTTATTTAAGCATCCAAGTATCAGACGCCCCTCAAGGATCTGAACTCCCTCAGAAATTCTCAAATCGCCCAATTTTTTTTTCCAGCCTTTCTCCTCGGCCAGCATCCATTCCCGGCGACCTGTGCATCAGAACTCCGGCCACAAGGCCAAAAGCAGTGAGCCGCGACCTCAAGGCTCAATTTTCCGTCGCATCAGACTTTCGGCCATCGTTGAGCGTCGCGACCAGAGGACCACCAGTTGACGTCGAGCTGCGATCCGATCTCCGAGCTCCGACCCCCAGTCCGACTGAGCCTCGATCTCCCGAACTCCGACCTCAGACCTTCAGTCGCGAGTAGCTCACGATCGAGAACGAGCCTTGGTACGTCTGAGGCTAGAACACGAACAACCACGAGAAGCGGCGCGGTTGGCAAAAACAGACTTCCGACGGTAAGACGAGATATAGGCGCGATTGTCGAGAGCCGACCCTTCGTGGTGAGACGAGTACAACCGGGAGCCGATAGCAGGCCTCTATTGCGACTGAGAGCAGGCCCTTCCGGCGCAGCTGAAGCTCGTTTTTTTTCGAACGGCAGATTTAAGGTGACTGGGGCATCAGACCTCTGTCCGTCCAACGACCGAGGCAAGCTTTTCACCTCACGACCTGGGAACTGAGAGTTCCCCCAGCACATCCGAGCCGAGAACCGACCAAATCGAGCCCTCTTCAGTAGGTAATTGGTTGAACCTTATGGCATTATCTTGGCCGAGATTGATGTGCTTTTAATGTGCCTAGTTTCAGTTCTAGGTAGAAGTTAAAATCATGTTACATTACAGTTTATGAATGAAGAACTTGTTGTGCCGTGTTGTGTATAGAGGGTCAAGCCATGATTATATGTTGCGGTTTTGTGAATTCTCAGAATTTGTTATTATAAGTATATGTGTTAAAATGGTGTCATTTATGTGCCGAGATTTATGTTAAGTTTCAGTTTGAGAATGGTTTACCGTGCCTTGGATTTTGAAGAGAAATTGAAGCATGGTATTCAGTGTGTTTGGCTTTGTTTGAGACGAGCTCGCTGAGCCGTTGCTGCTGAGTTTTGGGACTGTATGTAGGTACTGAAGTGTGTTGTTGTCATGCCAATTTTATACTCACATTACAGTTGCTGAAAACATGTTAGGAAAGGTGTTAAGCATGTTGTTATGTTTAATTTTCTTTGCCTTGTTTTAAGTTTTGTGACTTTGAGTTAATCTTCTTGTTTTATTTTTAAGTGTTGTTGTTACTGTACATTGTTGTTTGGTGCTGAGCTTGGTCGTAGAAGTGAGTGTTAAAAACAGGCTAAAAATTCCTTAAGTGAAAAGCAAATAAAGGGCATGATCACCATATGAATTATGACATGTTTTGATCAATTATTTTAGCTGGGTCTCTTGATGACTTGGATGCCATTTATATGTTGCTTTCCTGGGCTTCTAAGGATTTAAGATTCAACCCCAAATGATTGGTCTTGTGTGCTTTAGTTTTAGAGGAAAATGAAGACATGTTTTTGAGTATTAACATGAGTTCAAGATCATTAGAGAAACAGTAGTTTTAGTAAAGTTACGAGTCAGTAGAAGTTTTATCTGTCTAATTGTATGCGATGATTGCTATATCTAATTTAATTGTGTGTTTAATTGTCCTTGCCTGTTCTATTTGCCGTTTGTCGCCCCTTTAGTAATAAGATGTATAATTCGTAGATTTCGAGGAGTTGAATCTCGAGTGCTGTTTCGAGTGTCGTCATCTACTCTTCATGCACTTTTCCTCACATCATCAGTTATCAGGTGGGGGTTCTATACTATGGTTTATTCTTTATAAACATGTGGTAGTATAGTTTTTATATGCATGTGATTGTGGGCCGGTGGGCCTAAGGTGATGTGAACTTTTACCATGGCGGCTTGAAATAAGAGTCATTAGGCCGGGTAATTATCAGTTAAGTTATCTACTAGCGGGACTGGGTAATGCCAATGGCACTAGTAGAGTTATTTATTAGCGGGATCGGTTGATGCCGAATGCACTAGTAAGTAACCATACCGACGTTCATGAACATAGGTTAACGGCGTATAATAGCTAATTAGCCGGGTAAATTATGGAGGCTTGAAATAAGAGTCACTAGTCCGAATTTACCTGGAGGCTTGAAGCCGGGATGATATTTGTCAGCAGTGAGACAGTAAGCTTTACATGTTTATATAATTATTATCCTATCTATGTTTATATTGAATCGATGCATAGTATGAATTTTACCACTGAGCCGAGAGACGGTGCTCACCCCTTTGTTTTTCAGGTTGATCGAGCTGGCGGCGGACACGAGAGAACGGGCGTGGTCGTCTTTAATTATATTTATATTTTCTGTGAACTCTATTGGAATTTATATTCAATTTTGAACGTTTGAATTACAAATTGATTAAGTGAAACATGTTTATTTTAAAACATTTATTTATGTTTGGAATGTCTTGATAGAAATAATAGCTTTTGTAATGTCAGTCGAAATTGAGATAGATTAAGTAATGCCCGTTACACAAATGTTTTTTTTTTAAATGGTTTGCGAAAAATAAACTCTGGTTTTTAGAAAAATATTCGGTATTTTATCTTTTAAATAACGGGGCGTTACAACATGTGTCTTATCTATATTTGTAATGTGAATGGTATCTTGAAACCATGTTATCCTATAGTAAGATTTCTAATTAACTTGATTTCATTTTTGACATATACAATTGACATTAGATTTGGACATTAGATTTGGAATAGATATGTACAAAATAATAATAATAATAATAATAATAATAAATAAAATAAAACAAATAAAAAATACAGTGACTATTCTTTAGCTTCAAGTGCAAAATCTTGGTGTTATTTATTCGAATGGATAAAAGGAAATAAAACACCAAATTGGAATGGGATATTCTACAAATGAATATAATAGAACAAATATGGATGATATATTAACTAAATATGCATCATAAATTAACTAAATATGCATTATGAAATAAATATGAATTTCTTATTCTCAATTAAGTATGCATTATTTATAACTAAAATATGCATGATGTATTAACTAAATATGCAAAATAAATAAATAAATAAAATAAAATAAATGTGCATTAATTGTATAATAAAAAAAATGAAGGGTCGTTTTGTAATTATTCAAACTATAAATAAATTACATATTGAACCCAAGGATCTAATTGCAATAACACTTAAATTTAGGAAATTGAAACTAGATCTTTAAGGTCTATATGATTTCCAAAAATTGCCCCAACCATAAAATCCCAAAATTTATTGAAATCGAACGTCTGTCGGCCATGGTGCTCCTGTGTGTCCGATTGAAGTCGGAAAAATGCATGCATCATCTAACACGGTTGCGATTGTTGCTGCGAGAAGACGACCGATTGAAGTAGAAAACGACTCCAACTGGCTGCGCCAGAAGGCGACAGGTTGAACTCGAAAGTGGCTCTGACTGGCTGCACGAGAAGAAGACTGGCTGGGCAAAATGTCGACTACCGACGAGCAGTTGTATCTTCTTTTCGACTCGACAGAATCAGCGCCCTCCACCTCGCTTGGCCGGCGGGTGGCCTAGCTCGTCAAACTCGCCGGAAGTTCTGCTCTTACCTCCCATCGCTCGCGATGAGCTCCAGCACGTTGGCTGGATCGACAGCACCATGAAAGTCCTGTTCTGGCGGAGATGCCGACCAGTCCAGGGTCGCTGCGCGCGCGATAAACGCGACAGCAGTCAGTCAATGGCACCATCGGAGGCCGCCGTCGGAAAATCCAATTTATTAATTTTATTTATTATATAATTAATTTAAATATTATATTTTTTTATTATTTAATTATGTTTTTTTTTAACCGATTAATATGAGTTTTTGATCTATACGAAATGAATGGTTAATGTACTCATTTAATCCACCACCTATAAATAATATTAATAATAATAATAATAATAATAATAATAATAATAATAATAATAATAATAATAATAATAATAATATGACGCCTTGTGTGCAACTAAGGGTTATGGATTTCTTCCATTCTCTTTCTCTTCATTAGGGGAGTTGCACACGGAGGCCATTGCCCTACTCAAGAGGATACAGAAGTATTCTGTATCTCAGGATGTGGGGGCGCGTGCTGCTCCTCATATTTTCACTCGTATTAGCTTTTCCATTGCAAAAGGAGTGGGGGCCTAGATAGTATCTCGGTTCCCCTCCAATTTCTTGTAATTATTTTGATCCGATCTATAATGATAATAATAATAATAAAAATAATAATAATAATAATAATAATAATAATAATAATAATAATAATAATAATAATAGTAATAATAATAATAATAAAATAGGACAAACATGATGTTTCGAGATAAAAATATCCAAAATCGATACCGTGTTCGGCACGAAAAAACGAGACTATAATATACTCCCTCTATTCATAATATTTGTCGTTTTGAGAAGTTGCACAATTATTAAGAATATTTTTTTTTGCCAATAATAACCCTCATTAATGAAGATAGAGATTAATGTTTTGAGAAAAAATGAAGAGTGAATATGAAAAAACGTAGTGTATTTATTAGCTAGATGGGGGTAATAATGGAAAAATATGTACAAAATATTCAAAACGATATTTATTTTGTTAATAGTTGATAATGCCAAAATGATATTTAAAAAGAATAGGAGGTAGTAAAATTTTGTGGGAACTTTATTTTTCGGAATGGGACCATTTCGTTTCGGTTCAACACGAGAAAATTCAATTTTTATTCCCCACCCCTAATAAAATTTGGTAAAATAAAATCTTTTTGGGGCTTTCTTGATGGGTTGCTTCATGTAAACCATTAACCACCACTACGCGTCCCTTGTATTTCTTCAGCTCAGAAACAAGTTGATAGTAAACAGTGAGCCCAAAAAAAAAAAAAA